AACGTCTAGCCACAACCCGTATCAAAATCAAGTTCTTAAACATGATCACTTTGAATGCACTTGTGAGAGCTGCTATCGCCACAGTGTCAAAATTGTGCGTGGCGACGTAAACGCCATGGTGGAAAGAAGGTATCTTTGGCCTAACGGTCGGTGAATTCAGTCTTCACGATGAAACATCCCAAAATGGGTTGAAGCTGATCGACTCGCCGGGTCCGGAAATGTGGTTATTTGTGGTACTTGATTTCAGCATTGAAATTCACAAAGCGTGTTTTACTCATAACAATGCATCTTTGTACATAAAATAAATAAAATTTAAAATTTTACCTGTCGGGTCGATACTACCCCAACTCCCATTTAAAGCATATAATGGTTTTTATTTTAACCTTATGCCGAATATATCTGTCAATGTATGATTTATATATATGTACATATGTATAAAATTGATTGTATTGAGATCCTCTGAATCGTAAGTATTTCGCTGTCTTTGATTCTTGCAAGTTACAAGAGTGTAAAAAGTTCGGCGTAATATGACGGGTGAGTAGTCTTTTCATTACTACCTTATATACAGGCAACGTGGTCATCCAGGTTGTTGTTATTGGAGGAAGCTTCTCACGGTCCCAGTGTAGCACCGTGTTGTCGGCATTCTTGCTGACTGGACTGCCTGCCAGTAGTACTATGCTATGCATCTGGTGTTTAATTGGCTCAGTGCCAGGATAATCTGGACAGGATTGCCCCAAGGTGCAAGCATTAGTCCAGAGTTAGAGATTGCGACTCCTGTGAGGACGAACGGTCGTATCAGCGAACCGTTTAGCCCACGCTGCGATTCGGCTCAGTGCTACATCGGTCGACTCCGGACCGTTACGAGGACATTGTCCGACTGGCGGCCAATTAAGTGCACTTAATCCGTACACTGGTTGGGGTTGTGGGCTGTACCACGGTGAGCATGCGATAAGCTACCGCTTTGGTGGTCGTGTTTACCGAGCGGGTCTGCGCGTGAGTTGCTTTTTTTTCAGCGCGTTCAGACGCAAGCACCTGGACAGCAGCTATTCTTGAATCTTTCTGTCCGAGAGCCCTCTGCGCTAGTGGTACGCCAGCGGATCAGTTCGACTGAAAGGTGGGTCGGGAAGTGAGATGCCGCCTCGGCGGAAGAGGAGTACGAAAACCCTGGCTGAAAGCGGAGAATCCGCCGCTTCTACAGTCGTGGATGTTTCCACGTCAGATGGCGGAATGGAGACGATGCGAGCGGTAAGGTCTCCACCGCGTAGTAAGATGCGTTTGGGGTTGGCGCGTCTAGAGGGCGGAAATAAGGGAGGAAGCGGGAGTTGTGGCGGGAGCTCCAACGCGTCCACCGCTGAGAAGGGGGTGGGCGTATGGGTTCATCGCGTAATGAGGGAGGGAGCGGTAAAGGAGAGAGTAGCGAATAACAAAAAATTCGGGGATGTGGGGTTGGACGTCTCTGTCAACCGAAAATTGGGTAGTTGGGTTGTGGTCCAGGGGGTCCATATGGAGATCTCCCATGAAGAATTAATGGAGGATCTACTCCGGCTGAACCTCCAGGATTTCAGGCCGGTGTCCCAGAGGTCGGACGTGAGGATGGTCAGTCGTCTCTGGAGGGTGACCACTGACGGTAACACCAATGTCGTCCTTGAGCGTACGGACAAGTTGATGTCCGCCCTCTTGGAGGCAGGTAGGTGCTACATAAAGTGGTTCTCTTTCAGGGTGCGACCGGAGAGCCCCGTCGCTGACTGCTTCCGTTGCATGGGATTCGATCACAGGAGGGCTGAGTGTAGGCCTGCGGCACCACATTGCCGCAACTGTGAGTTTAAGGGTAGACCAGCTGGGCATCTTATGATGTCAGCTGTATGCCCTATCTATTGTGGTTTGGTTGAGCTCATCCAGCTTAACTGTCATTGCTCCTATGCCGTGATGTGTGAGTTGGGGAGTTGGTCAGTTAGTGAGTTTGAGGAGTTGGAGGTTGACGAGCAAATTGCCCGTCTATATGGGGTAGTTTGGGGGTTAAATTCTGGGGTATTTAGGAGGTGTGAAAGTCATAAGACTAGTAAGATTAAATGGGAAACGCGTGAGTTAACCTTAAAGAGGAGGACTGTCAAGTGACTGAGGCGAAAGTTTCAACGCGCCCGTGGGTCCAATTCTGATAGGCTGTTCCAGCTTAGGTATGAATTTTGTTGTGCGGATAGTTAGCATAAGGAGATATTACTGAAAAGTAAAGAGGAAGATTGGAGGATTTTTGTGAGTGAGAATAGGAACAACCTGGGTCAGGTTTATAGGATCTGCCGGGGTCGCAGGAGGGAGGATGTCACCTCTCTTTGCTTCAGTGACACTCTGTTATCGTCGTGGAGAGAATGTGCGGGGGTTCTGTTAGGTGTGTTTTTTCCAAGGTAGGAGGTGTAGGTACCTCAAGCACAAGAGGTGCCTGTCCCTCCATTAAATGATGGGGAGTGGGGGTACGCCTTTGGCCTGGCTACGTCTAAACGGTATCCAAGTGGAGGGATACTTTCCACGAGTGTGGAAAAATGCTAGGGTTGTTCCTCTCCTGAAGTCCTCTGATAATATCAGGAGCGATCCTTGGTCTTATCGGGGCATCAGTCTCCTTCCAGTACATGGATAAGTGCTTGAAAGAGTCATGGTAGAACGGTTTCAGGAGCTAACGAGGGGTTTGTGGTCGGATAGGCAGTTTGGGTTCAGGAAAGGACGCAGTATAGAGGATGCTTGGTTTTATGTTCAGAATGTCGTTAGGGAGAATGTCAAGAAATACGTCCTTGGCATATTTGTTGACTTCCAGGGGGCGTTGGACCGAGTGGTGCAACGGCTGAAGGAGCTTGGCTGTCCGGAAATTACTCTTTGGCGGAGTTATTTTTCGGACAGAAAGGCCTCTCTTGTCGGCATGAATGGGRGTGTGGAGATTGGAGTGGTTCGTAGCTGCCCGCAGAATTCCACCTGCAGTCCATATGTTTGGAACCTTATGATGGACACTCTGCTTGAGCAGCTCGAGCCACTCTGTAAGTGCTGTGCGTATACGGACGACCTTCTTCTTATGCCCGAAGGTCGCTCGGTCTGAGTCCGAACAGGCGGGAGGAGATCTCTTAGAGATCATGAATACTTGGGGTGTAGGTGTGAGGGTGGACATATCGAGGGAAAAACGGTGGCAATGCTGCTTAAGGGCAGATTGTCACCGGTTCGTCCACCGATTGCCCGTGCGAATGGGGTCAGTATCAGATATGTGACCCAAGTCAAATATCTTACGTTGACCATGAGTGAAAGAATGTGTTTTACCCCACACTTGGCGAATGTGAAGGAGCGACTGCAGGCAACCATAGGCAAAATACGCCGTTTTGGGGAGCGATTGGGGTCTCGGACGTCGTGCTGTCCGCACGTTGGCTTGTTTGTGGCCTGTGCTACATATGGAGCTCCTGTATGTTGGGAGGCAGCCCAGGAATATCTAGGGAGCAAGAGGCTTTTGGATGATAGGGTTAGGTGGAGGTGGAAAGAACGTTGGGACAATTGTACTAACGGCCGAGTGACGTACGAGTACATTAGGGACGTTGGGTCCATTGAGGATAACCCAGATTTCAGATTTTGTCAGAGTTTGGGTTTTCTGCTTACGGGCCATGGGCTTCTGAATGCATTTTTGCATCAGAGGCTGCAATCGGTTACGCCGGTTAGAAAATTGGTCGCACTTAATTGCAGAGTGCCCGATGTACTCGGACATTAGAGATCTGGGTGGTATGGGGATTACATGGACTGATGGACGATTAGATGTTAGTGGTGTGATCCCCACTAGTCGGAATACCGAACAGTTTGGGTAATTTTCGCGTGAATTATTTAGCGGCAAAGACGGTTAGCTGGGAATTAGGGTTAGGCTTTATATGACTGGTGTGTGTATGTGATGTATGTATGGGGTCCAATCCCTAGCCACCAGTCCAGAGCCGTATGGAAGCTCAACTGGTAGTAGTTTCGGCTACGAGGTCTGACCGGAGAATTAATTCTGGTACCACGGAGAGCAGGAGCTCTTGGAGGTAACTCAAACCTGCTCATGCGGAATGGCCCCTGGGGGAGTATCGTTGTGGTTGTGGTTAAAACCCAAATGCGTGAAGAACTGACTTTGTCTGAATGTGGAGTTGCATTGCAACCGGGTGCCGGACCCAAAGCACGGCAGAAGTTTAGATGGGAACCCGACCAAGGTGATTAGTGTGTTCATTTCACACTGGCAATTGATACTGAAAATGCTTAGCATTCTCAGGGCGCTGATCAACGCATTGATTTGATCCGCTGTGCTTTTGAGCGCCGTGAAGCAAAGCTGTCGTCAGCAGGTACCCACGTTAAACACACCGGACGTTGTTTTCTTACCTAATTTTTTAAATTAAATTAGGTTTATCTAATCAGAAATACCGCGTAAGGGTTCGTCAGTTCAGAAATACATACATATTTTTATTCAGAAAATAAGTATTGGTGTGATTTGGAGAATGCGGAACCGCATACTATTTCGAGAAGATTAAGAAATATAAAAAAATATTACAGAATTTTTCAATTAATTAAAAAAAGTAAGCAACAGTCTCTAAATATGTGAATGAATGTGCGCAATATACAATAATATGAGTTGGTTTTGTTCCTTAAACTTATTTTTGTTAACAATGCTGCCTAAATATAAGTACATTGTCTTGTTTTATTCCTTATATATTTTTCTGTTTAAAGTTAAAAATATTGTTTAAATATCCTTAAAAGCTAAATAAATAGTTAAAGTTTACATATGATTCTTTGATTGATCTTCCGGGTTCCTGTAATTGAATGAATTGCTCAATTTAACGAGTATCGGTTAATTTAACGGAAAATTGTGCAAATTTTGAGTGCAATTGCCCGGGGTACTATAGTAAGCATCAAACACATACACATATACATTTAGAGTAGAAGTGAGCGAAGCTCTAATTGGTACTTGTTATGAAAATGTAATAACATCATAGTATTTATTGTTTATATTTTAGATGCGGAATTGCTTTATTCAATATTGCCGGATGGTCACCAGCGGAAGAAACCATTTTGTGGACCCTACCATTCAGTACGTTTACACATATCTATCATTTTATTTGTTTTTAGTACTAAATGTTAAAGGTGCTTATTTTCCTATATGATTAAAACTTAAAACTTCTTATTTTTAAACTTTCGTTACATGTGCCTTCAAAATAAAATACATTTGTCTACCTAACAATAGCTTGTAATAGCTAAAACTAATGGAGTAGATTTAGAGTTGTGCTTATATTTAATTGCTCAACACCGGGTGTCTATCAGCCTGTGCAAACGATAACTTGAGATATATTGATGAAACTTGCTGCAAATATTCCTTGGCACTATCTTTATTTTTAAAATAAAAATTATATAAAATAACAAATTTAATTACGCAACATCCGATTTGACAGTATGAAAATGGTTTAAATCGGATTACTATATAACATCACCACTCTCTTGAAAACGGTTTTGTTGAAAACTACTAAAAGAACGATAACTCTGTAAATAGTACAAGCTAACACAAATTCCATTCGATTTTTTTACTTTTCGATAATGTGTATTTATGTACAAATTAAAGTACAATAATACATATATCATGATAAAACTTTGCACAAAAAGTTACTTCAAAGTAAGCCGTCTCGTTTCTAAAAATTATACACAATATAAAGATTTTCTAACTTCCACTTAACCTCATACCGTACACCATATATAAGCTAATATGCAAGATATATTAGCCAAATACACACAGCGTATATTATAGGATATTTTATACTTTAATCCCGAAAACGTGTGAAATTATTGTCATTGATCAAGTGGGGCGAACTAACGCATTTGGTTTGCTTTCCGAATGGCTTCAATGGAGCAATTCAAATGGTTTACTTCTAAATAACAATGGATATGCATTTATAAATAGTTACATTGATTATTACTTACCGTAGTATGTCCTTCCACTTTCCTGGCATACAAATTCATTTGCATTTCCCGTGAAAATCAGCACAGCGAGGATAGAGGGTAAACAAACTGCAACTTACCAACAACAAGTATACTGTACCCAAAAAATAAGGTGACATTGTATTTATTTTGAAAATTCTTTATTTATTCTTTCAAATCTATGTCATCCCCTTCAAAGTAATAGTACATTATGCTAATGGATTTTCCATTCTTCGAAACACTGGTTGTAGTCACTTTCCGGGATGGCCTTCAGTTTCGTCATCGCTGCGGCTTGAATCTCCTCTATCGTTTAAAAACTGTGTCCCCGGAGACAGATCAGGTGAACGGTGGTTGCGGAACGATATGGTTTGAGTTTTTGGCGAAATGATAATTTAATGCAAATTCCTTGCTCAACAAATTTCGACATCGCAAAAAACGGAGAACTCACTTTCAGCAGCTCACAAAACGACACGTATCTCAAACACTAATGAATATTTTGACATGAAATTTGACATAAATTTGACTGACAGTACTACCCACCTAAAAAATAATAATTTGCCAAATCCTTCGACGCGCGCAGTTTAAATTCAAATGTCACCTTATTTTTTGGGCACAGATAATTAAAGGTCCTGCTATGCCTATGCGAAGAAGGGGAAATGATAAATATACAAATTGCATAAACAAATAAGCAGAAGCTTTACAGTTGGAATAATGTATATAATACGAAGTTCGCGATAATTTAAAGCAGTGGTCGGCATTTCTTAGCACAATTGTGCAAACTAACTTCACACGTACGCTTACGCTCTATAGTTCAGTCGTTGTCGAGCCAGCAGCGAATTAACATCACGCAAGACTATGGCGCAATATGCCCTTCGAGAAATATTTTATGATTCTAAATGCGTTTGGTGCCCTTCATGTTCCAAGTCTTTTAAAGATAATAGGGAATATATTCTTAAAAGACATCATAAATTTGAATGATTCATTGCACCCTGATTTGAAAAAAAAATTTAAATATTTATAATTTTTTCCCTCTACTTATATATGTGAAGAAATTTTTTCAGATTTAAAATTTACCTACTCCAAACAACGCAATAAAATTTATTCAACCCATTTAACAATTTCATTATTTTAATAAGAAATTCTCATAAAAAGATTGATATAGATATATGTATTAAAGATAAAACATTAAACAATTAGTTTAAGCTATATTTATATTATATATATAAATTATTCCCCTCATTTCGAAAAACTGCAGAACTTCTTATTTATCTGTTTTATTTATTTTTTATTATTTGCTCTGAGATTTGAATAATCATTTATTTATATATAGCTTTTAGGTTTATTGAATATTTTCATATCTTTTTGCTCCAACGTAGTGAAAACATATTTAATTTTCAAATTTTATTGAGCAATAATTTATTTTATAATTTTGCTTATAAAATTTGCTTAATTTTAATTCCAATTTCTCACTCGGCTACTTTTTTTCGTGCTCACATCAACACAGTGATGTGTGGAATACAACCCTCGACCTATTTTGACAGCTGCACGACTACACGACGGCAGGCCGACAGTTGTCGTTCTCACTAACTTCAATTTTATCCTAATTTGCCAACGACAGTGGGACGACAGTAGAGTTGACAGTAGAATGGAAGATAGAGAGATGAGGTAAAGTGGTGATGCCACTAATATGTAAAATGTAAAATTATTCAAAGCTCTAACAAACCTGACGTTATTTTACAAATAAAAGCATTAAATAGCTCTGTTACATCATTTATAATAACAATTGATAATTTGAAACAAATAAATTTACCTATTTACTAATATTTTGCTTAAAAATTTCACTTTGAACAAAATATTAAAATTTATTAGTATTTATTAGTATTAGTATGGCCACAACGAATTTTGTGTACATGCCGGCCATTGTTATGTTGCTGCCCTCCCACAAAGGTTCATGTAGTAGGATTCACAACGCCGTTTTCAGTTCACTGTCGTGCTGCTGCAGTCTGTCGCGAGCATTGTGTTCCGCGCATGACAGATCCTCTCATGCCGATCACTGATTTAAAGAGAAATGAAAATGAAACATTCAACTGTAAATTAAACGTAGATATATAACTGTTAAAAAGTCAATGGGAAATGTTTTTGAAGCAACAATTTTGATCGGGAAATTTAAAGGGGAGGAAGTATTTATTCAAATGATTTCATCTGATTTATCGTTCGAGTTTAAACGTCTGCAATTTCCGGTTCGTCCTGTTTTTACCATTGCCAGAAATAAACCGCAATGCCAATCTTTGGGAATTTGCGTTATAAATTTGGAATATCCGGTTTTTTCGCATGGACAATTTTATGTTTCTTGCTCGCGGGTTGGAATCCAACGTTTATATTTATTTATCCGAGAACAAAAAAACTAAAAATGTTGTCTACCATATAGCGTTGAACTAGATAGTAGTAAAATCTTTCAATAAACAAATTATGTTGCAAAAGTAGTAATCTTATTTTATAACGCTCTAAGAAGCGGGCGGGGTTCAGCTAGTATATATTAGGTTGTCAAAAAATTCTTGCGGTATTTTCACTAGTTGGCGCTGAGAGCGCGTAGTTTTAGTTTTATTCGTCGCATGGGGTCATGCTCTCGTATACCTTTTTGGAAAGCTCATTTCATGCGCTAACACGTGTTTCATTGATTGTCGTTTCTTTTAAGTCGTTCGTGAGTTATATCGTCGCAAACATGGAGCAAAATAAAGAGAAATTACGGCATATTTTACAGTACTACTACGATAAAGGCAAAAATTCTTCTGAAGTGAAAATTTGTACAGTTTATGGACCCAATATAGTTTCCATTTCTACCGCACAACGATGGTTTCAAAGTTTTCGTTCTGGTGTAGAGGTGGTCGAAGATGCGCCATGCTCCGGAAGGCCTGTCGTCGAAAATTGCGATAAAATCGCTGAATTGGTCGAAAGAAACCGGCATAGTAGCATCGGTCAAGAGCAGGGCATAGTAGTATTGCGTCGGATTAATTTTCCACTTATAATTGATGTATTATCTTTTAAAATATTTAGTTTAGTCAGCTGCTGCCTTTTTCGTTTGTCTTTTAATTTTATTTATGGTTTGTTAGAATTTCTTCAACTTTATAGATTTTAAGTGGTTCAATGTATTCAATTGTATTCATTTTTTAGTGTTTGTTATGTTGTCAAAGAAATGCTTATGTATTGCAGTTTGTTGAATAATTGTTTTAATGATGTTGTGATCATTATTGTGCTGAGTTTCTTAAGACTTTAAAACTTCTTATACATGGTACGTTCCAAAGTAAAGAGGACTTTCCGAATCTAGTGCCCCCTGTAGCGCCATCTATATGTCGGATGGTGCGATAGAATCTGCTATCTTCATCGATTTTCCAGTGAGAATTTTTTAACATTTCATAGATTGGAAGTGAAGTTATTGCGTTTTAAGTGTCAGTATGCATGTGTTATCGTTGCGAAAGTGAGCTTCAAACAA